AACCTCTGCAAATTTTCACATGATTACGATATCATATAGGCATGGCTTCGATACAAAAATTCCCATCTTTAGTAGTTTTTGTATGAAAAGTGCTTCGAAAATTATTTTTATCTAAAACTAAATGTCAGATTTAATTTTCTTTCATGTCGTGGATCACAGTGCGGAAAAGTTCATCTTACGGATGTAAGACATTTTATTTTTCTATGCATGCTTAACATGCACACACACGAGTGCAAAACTAAATGCTGTCGGTCGTGATTGAGGTCTGTTTTTAAAAATGTTCAATGCATTTGACTCTCAATAACTCTTTTACTCTCGCAAAGTACTTGATGCCGATGCATCGAAGCACTATAGTTTGTTTATTTGCACCGATGCACGATTTAGTTTTTCGTCTCTCGCTTGAACTTTTTCAATGCATTTGAAATGAGAAAATGGATAGATGGTTAGGATGAAAAAGAACGGCACAGCTTTGCACCCATAGACAGGTTCGATTGATTTTCAAGCAAATAACAAACAATTTCGAAAGTTTCGGTTCATCTTGAATTTTATGCATCATTTAATTTAAATGCACATTTTAATTATGCGGTTTTTCATTCGATCGTTTACCACTCCATCCATAAATTTACATAACCAACGATGTACATATAAACAAGCGATTTCGTTGCCTTTTGAATGCGCACATTTTCTGCTTACGAAATTGCAAACAGTTTATTTCTCAAATTAACAAAGTTTAAAATTCATGAAAAACATTCAACGCCAAAACTATATTCTATTTACACTCGATATTTATATTTTTAATCAAATATTCATAGTTATCGATGCAGAAGTTCTGCAAACAACGTACATATAAAACAGCCAATTTGAAAATTGGAGCAAAAAAATAAAATTAACGCAGTGGAAGTATCCACGACGCGGAAAAAACGAACTAATCGAAACTTAATTTGCTACACCGGCATTTTCCCGAAGGGTTACTTTAATCAAATGTTTTGATTTCAAATCGATTTTTTTTTTTCAAATCTCGATTAAAGACCTCAGACCATGAAATTGTCACTCACGAAGTGAGCGCTTGTTGGGAGTCGCCCTTAGCTATGAATGTGATGGTTCGATTAATGTTGTTTGTATTAGTGAGCGCTGTATTCAAATACGAAGTCAGGAACGGCTCCTGAAAAGTACACCACACTCTTCTCAGGCTCTGCGCTTGCAGGTGTCAGGCACACCGGCTCCCTATGTTTTAACATTGCAATAATATTTTAGGAACATAATATGGCCTCAGGTGGTGTATAGTCAACTTTTCCATCATTTTATTCTTGTTTTAGCTAAATGAGTGCAAAACTGGCCCATACACAAATCAAACAATCAGACATTAGGCTCGAGCTATGCATATAGCGGCTGCTATTTTATAGGTGCTATTCATAGGCGCTATTTAATTCGTGTGCTGTGTGTAACACCGAGTAGGAATATCATAGCCTACTATTCTTTTGTACATTTGAATGTGAGTACGAGAGAGATGTAGAAAATAACGCACAATATGCATAAATGCATTAAAACGAGATAAATAGCGCCTATGAATAGCAGCTATGAAATAGCGGCCGCTATATCCATAGCTCAAACCTAATGTCTGCAAACAATAGATGGCGCCTCTGCAAAGACATCTTTGCCTATGCAAAGGTGCATTTCTTCACAAGTACGATCTCATGCACTGAGCCATTCAAAGGTACACCACGTAGACAAAAAAAAATGTACTATCATTTTCATGAAGATTACACTGCTAGAAAAATACACATCCGTAAAATAAAGTGCACCTCCATTTAACGAAAATTTCACGCTCTTAATTTTTGTTTACTTCTAATTGTTACTTACAGAGTTTTATGAAAATGATGGTACACTTTTTCTAGCTGAGAATTCTCTTGCCATATTCTGCGTGTATTTCTTTCAAACGAACCATAAATGTTGGAAATTCATAATTAACGTAGAACCATTATCGCCTCAAAATGTAAAGGCCGTGCATCATTTATATTAGAATTTCAAAAATAAATTAAACTCAAATAATACAAATTTAGATAAAAAGCAACAAATATTTGTTGACGCAAAATATTAATCTGAAAACGATTCGTTTGAAACGAAGCAAATTAAGTTTCACATTTTCACCATAGAAAATGAATAACATTCGACACATTCAATTAGAAAAAGTTTAGTAAATTAAATGTTATATTTGTAAACAAGCATGAGTCAGAGTCGATGATTCTCTCGTATGGAAAAATGAAAAGTGTTTCTTTACTCTTTGCCATTTAATGTTGAATATTGTCTATTTGGCAAAAATGTTGTATGAAAATTAGTTTTCAATACATGACTTTCCAATCATGTTTTATATGAATACATTGCTTGGAATTGAGTGCAGAATTCTCGTCCCAGTTCAAAATGTGGTAGAGAGTTTGTTGGTCGATGGCGCAAAATTCAAGCCAGAGCCACATTTGTTTTCCGTTCGATAACCATTCTGTCGTATTTTGGAATCGTGTACTTATCCATGTGATGGTTTTATTGAATCGGTGACTTTAATGTATGTGTACGGTGTACACAATCGAATGGACATTGTTGGAAAACACTTTACATATATTCGTTCGGGGCGACACACACACACACAAAAAAAAAATCGAAAACAAAATGTTCGATTAGTTTTATGGCTCATTGTGAATGCAAAACAGACGACAGTCCTTTAGCCTGTGTAAAATGGAAATAAATAACACACAAAATCGGGATTGTTTTCTTTCTTTATCCAATGATCATTACTTATGTCGATATGTATTTTCTTTCTCTGCTTCTGTTCTCTCTTTTTCTATCTCTCTTTCTCTGATATTCTTATAGGTTTCTCGGGCGAGTTGTGTAACTACGAGTACAATGAATGCGATTCAAATCCATGTTTGAATGATGGCCAATGTACCGACCATATTGGTGGATTTTCATGCAAATGTACACGCGGATATTCGGGAAAGCGATGCCACATTAAAGTTAGTATACATTTTTATTTATCGTTTGGTTCAATTCTTTTTTATTGAGATTTTTCTTCGTCTTATTCGTTTTTCTTCTTTTTTTACATTTGGTCCGAGTTTTTCAGTTCGTTTCAACTTCAATAAGCGTTCGGATGTTCTTATATTGTTTGTGATCACTTTATTTATTTAGTGTTGTGTTTAGATACGATTTGCTTTCTCTATCGCTCTCGCCACCAGAGCAACATCCACATTCTTTTTATTAGTTCCACTTTTGAATCTCTTTTCCAACATAAATTTTCCAAACGCATTTTCAGAAGGATAAAATTGTTGTAAAATCGATTCTATAATGTTGCAATTTATAAAAACGCTGAGCTGAGCGCAATGCAGCACACTCTATGCATGCAATATAGTAAATAGTTTTAGATGCTTTTCCCTTAGCATAGTTGAAATCCAGTTCAGAATTTAACGAGAAAAAACACACTCACACATACACAAAACAACAAACACAAATAAAATCAAATGTAAAATCGATGCATCGTTGTTCATCGATTCACTACTCTTCTCTTCCATAAACATTTTCATGGATTTTTTTTCATGCGCTTTCTCTCGTTTTCTCATTTTGTCTTTCACTTGCATTGTTGCAACGAATGATTCACTCAAACTGAACGCTCGCAAAAAAAAATAATCGAAGATTGTTTCGTGTTCGAAATTTCAAACGATGCTTTGTGTTTTCATGTTCAAATTTAAATTGCTTCGGTTGTTGCCACTTGTAAAATTATTTTTCTCATTGAAAACGTATAATGTAAATGCACATTTGCAATCCGGGCTGTTTTCGTTTCTGTTTCACAAAATTATGGCATCTAAAAAAGAAATGGAATGAGCACAGAGTGACATTAAATTTTTCGGGTAAAAGAGACCATCGTACAAATTGAAAATTAAATTCCATTGTATGATATTCTTCATTTTCGTGTGAGGGGTTTTAAAAGGCGAAACATGAATTTTTTGTCGGTGTTTTTTTTTTAAATTCAAGTTGTAAGTGAATGCTAACGTTATGCTTTTGGACGAATGTAGTTCGTTGAATATTTTGCTTTATCCAAATCGTTAAAAGACACACACAGAGTCATAAATGATCAATTTGACAATGAAAATACACAATCGTAAAACAAACGAATGGTCCATAAATTCTTTTTTTTCATCTGTAAACCAATTTAAATTGTATATTTATACAGATCCAAATCGGATTGGGGATCCATTTTATTGTAATATACGATTTTACCGGCATTTAGAGGATGTAGTACTGCAGCATCATTAGTTCGGTTGATACCATTTGATAATTATAGTAATTTCCATTCATCCGCAATTTCATTTGCACACGCAAAATACAAACAAATTCACACCAAAAATGTTCGCACTTAAAATGCATGCCCATGCACGACGCACACGACGAGTCAAGTGACTTTCATATGCCAATACAACATCCGTGGGCAATATTGTGTTCGTTTCTCGTAGAACAATGAACATATATTACCCGTTATAAATGCAATACCAATCTACCCCGAATGATGTCACTTTGTCGACTCGACGCCAGACTGGATGAGACAATGCGCAAACGAACGAGAGAAAAAGTTGAAAATCATTTGCTTTTATACCGAACCCATTCAAGCATTCAAGTTTGGGGCTTTAATTTCCTTTTGTTTGAATCCGTTGTTCTCATCTCTCTGCGTTTTTTTTTTCGCTCGCTCTCTATCTCCCTGTTGTTTGCAAATTACATTGAGCAATTATTCGGTGAGAATTGAGCCGGGTAAAATACACTTGTTTTTTTCAATTCATTTAGTTGAGAAAAAAGGGAGGTTTAACGCCGTAACCGTAAATGTGTATGTGTCTATGTTTGTGTGATGATTCGAATGGAATTCTGTTTTTGTTTTGTTTTTGTTTAATCGAACAATGTAACAGGGGAGAGGCGCAATAGTGCAGAAAACAAGATAGCGTACTCAATATGAAACGTATTGTTTTATAGTTTACATTCACACTGATACAAATGAAATGTAAAATACCTACCTCTATCCATCGCATACATCATCATCATCCACACAGTCAAATCGAAACGAAAAAATCGTTTTACACACATTCAACTTAGAATTTGGCACACATTTCACATGGATTAAGTTCATTAGAATGTATTCGAGCATAACTGACAGACAACATTGCGATATTTTTAATTAAACATTTTGCATTCCCCAATCCGATCATTTGTCACTCTTGCATGTATCGTTGAATTGAAATTTGTTCGAATTTTTGTTACAATGTTCAAATTTCAATCAGAAAAATGACTTTGTTTCAATTTGAAATTTTCATTTTTAACATAATGACAGTATCGATCGGAAAATGTCACAGTTTCGTTTTTGTACATTTTGGAAATTCTATAAATTTTTAGGAAATAAACTAGTCTTTTTTAAACAATACATGTTTTTTTATAGGTTTAGATTTCATATGAATCCATATTACCATTTGTATTACACTCGCAGTTCCTCTTTTCATTTAATTTAACTGCTTCGAATAATGTCGATAGATTTTCGAATAACTGAAATGTATCGAAGTGGAATATGATAATTAGCAGAAAAATCGTTGATTAAAACGCAAATTTTTTGAAAATTTCAAGTAAAAATGACAGAATCAAAGATTTAAAGAAATTTCACCAGATTGCCTTCACAATAATGGGTCCATTCGACGAAAATTCGTGGCGAGTAGTCGTTTCAAACGAAAAAACATGGGCGGCCAAAGTAAAGGCGGCCAAAATTCCCATTGGAGTAAATAGAGAACTTTGTAAATTAATTGAAGTTTTCATTGAATATTATTCGTTTTGCATCGAAATGCTTGCAAAAAAACCAATGTTGCACAGAAATCCATAACTGATGAAGAAATAAGAAGAAAATGAAGAAAAGATTCGTTAAAACTCTATAGAACTTTTGAAGTAAAGAACTTTTAGACAAAGAGAATGAAAAATGGTGATTCCAGTTCAATTAACATTCACAACTGACAGTAAAAAAGGAAAATTTGATTAAAAAAAACTAGTGATTGGCACAAATGACAAAGATCAATACGAGTAATGCTTCAGAAAAGAATGTTTCTTTGCCAACAAGTTTGAACAGCGCTAAAAGAACTTTTTTCCAACTACTCAAAGGAACAAAAAGTATTTACTGAATTTTATTCAGTGAGATATTTGAATTAATGTAAAACAATATTAAACGAATAAATTGAGTGCATGCATCAGAAATAAAGAGATGCCAGCAAAATATAATTTTGATACATTTTTAATTTGTATTCGTTTACTTGAATCAAGTAGTGTATAAATAATTTACAGTGTGTTTGCAATTAGATCTGATTCCGACGGTATGATTCAAAAAACCTTTCGTATTTTTAGTGAAATTTTGAATGATTTCATAATATGTATGAAACTTTCATTTTCAATTTTATTTGTTTTGTGAGTATAATAATAATAGCAACGGTAACGGTTGCTGTAGAAATACGATATGCCCGATCCGAATGAAAACAATTTTTATTATAAACTCATTAAACGCTTTATTATTTGTAAACAAAGAACATCCGGTCATATTTTTGTATATTAAAACAAAAATAGGCCTCCTGAATTTGAATATGTTCAATTATAATGAAAATGTTTGGGTTTTTATGCATATCGAAATATAATGAAAAAAAAATCGGCTTTGCTAGAATTAAATTAAATCTGGCTGCCTCTCTGAAATTGAATTCAATTCTAAAAAATCATTGAAATTGGGAATATGCATTGAAGTTGTCATCGGGCGCTTTTGTGTCCGTTGTACCTTCTGGTTCATTGCGTGCATTTCTCAATTCAACATAAACAATTCGGCATTTTAAAAAGCATGCTTTTTACATTGTGCTCTCAGCATCTGCTTGTAACAATATTTTTCACATATTGTATAGTTCAATTTTTGTTGTTGTTTCATGTTATTGTTTTTGTCTGCTAGTGGTGAGCCAGAGTCATTTCACAATGTAAAAAAAATATACCTTAGTGTGTACAACTGTACATTGACAATCGTGCATCAAAGTATGCGCGCACCCGTTCCATATGCACACACACAGAACCTACATGACATATTTTGAACATGTTTTCAGGCATTCACATTCATATAACTTGGCTTAAAATTGTTATTTACTCTTTTTTTTGTTCGAAAAATACCATGAACATGTCGAACGCTCCTATTGGCAAACGCTCAAATTTTGCGCTCAGTAAATTAAATTCGGTGAAAAATTTAAACCTCGATCGACAGCAAAAAAAAAAAACGAATACAAAACCAAACATGCCATTGACGCATTTAATTTAATTGACATTTCGTTTATTCTTTCTCTATCCACCCGGTGTGTGTCTGTTTTTGATCTTCTTTTTCTTCAACAATCACAACAACAAAATAATACCAAAACGTTAACGAAATATGCAAACAGGTTGATTTTTGCGCAAATAATCCATGTCCTGAGGGCCATCAGTGCAATGATCATGGCAACGACTTTTCATGTGAATGTCCCGAAGGAAGAAGCGGCCTTGATTGCAGCCAATTTCCACGAACGGTATGTTGGAACTCATGGATTTTCTCGTCTCACATTTTATTTTGTTGTTTTCATTTCGATTTTATTTTCAATACGTATATATATCGAGTTAAACGGTGTCAGTTACACGGTTTTCAATTACAAATTTAGAATTGGAATTGCGTAAATGATGGAGCAACGAGAAAGAAATACGAAGAATGGAGTCTCTCGTAATTAAATTCATTGAGTGGAAACTTGAAAATGAAAAACGGTAACCAATTTAAATCATCTTATGGCAAAAATAGTTGAAAAAACCCTGGGGATTCGTACTGTGTTATGCGCAATGCTGATGGGAAAATGTAATTCCGGAAAATGTGATGAGTTTTACGCCAAACCACATTCATTGCACACACAAGATTTGGTCAACACGAAAACTGTCCAAACTTACAAAAAAAAATAACTCTTTCCAATTCATCACATTTTCTGTGTCATCAAACAAAATGGCATAACCACAATCCGTGCCCTTTATTTCAAGCGGAACACACAATAAACGACATAAAATCGCGTACAAATTGCTTGAACTGGCGACATGTAGCCAATCACATCGTTATTTTTAATTTTGGTTTTGTTTTTGTGTCCATAAAATTCGTTTTTTTTACTGTTTCTACTCCCATTTGTGGCAGTTGAATAAACATAGAATATAATATTTGGTGGGGTAGAAACAAAAAATCTCAACTCTTTTGTAATCAAAATTTCCAGAAAATTGCGCTTATAATTTCGCTGCTATCGTTGCGATGCGTCATCGTTGTCGGTACACTTGATTGTTGTACATGTGTACGCTCTTGTCTCCTTTGTGCATTGCTTTCCACTTCATTTTAAGCATTATTATCGCATGAACTTTGTTCGCTGGTTAAATTAAGCCATCAAAGTGTAATCATAATAGTCAACGAAGACGTTGTCGTTGTCATGCTTGAAATTTTGCTAAAAACCAAAACTGGAACACCAAAATGATTCCACATGCACAACATAACGCGCTCATTTTCATCTATCTCTCTCTCTCTCTCTCTCTATCTCTCTCTCTCTCTCTGTCTCTCTCGTATTTATCTCCTTCGCTCAGCTTGCGCTTCACATCACACGGAGATTAGACACAGACAATAAATAAATATGAGATATATATTGTATTTATTTTTTAGTGTTGAACAAACTTTCTTTTGATGGCAAAACGACCGAACACACAAAGAACTCTCACATACACACAATGATATTGAACGACAAGGGAAATGAAGCGTGTGAAATGTAATGATCATGATAAATAAAATATGCGACAATGCGAAACATGAGATGTCGCCATTTCGTCTTTTTGCTCCGTCTCTCTCTGTGTCTCTCCACGTCGTTTGTCCTCTGTGCAAAGTTAAGTTCGGTTTTTTCTGTACGCCTTCCAGACTGGATGTGATGTTCAATTTTATTTATCTTTAAAATGAGAAGAAGAAAGAACGATTGTTTTCGCTCAAACTTTTACCACTTTTGAACGAAAAAATATAATCACTTTTTTTCGTTGAACAATAATTTCCATTGTTAAGTTAAAGCGAAGATTTTTTGACTATTTATTTCATATTACATATACCGAACGGGTTGATTGTGACCAAAGCTACAAAGCTCCGCTGCGTTGCTAGCTGATGTTTCACCCATAGATATTATCAAAGCAAAGCAATTGAATTTTCATGCTCTTCATTTTGCTCTGTGAAATCAATGGAACATTTCAAACCAAAGAGACATAAAAATTCTATGACTAAAAACCAATTACAAATTTTCGACACTTTGGGAGTGCAAAAATGACATGTGTGAGCGGGGGAGAGAGAAAGGAAGTGCGGTGCACAATGCACATACTAAGAATGCATTCCCATGTTATGAAAGATTTATCTATTTCTCGTGCTGAATTACATATCTTTTGGTGCTTGTTTTTGGTGATGGAATTTACAACATACATACGGTAAGCTACTTGCTAAACAATGCACCTTCAACAGAAAGAAATTGCTGCCGGCTGTATGATACAACGTTCCGAAAATGCATCCAACTTTCTCATATGAGTAATGAAAACAAGGGGGGAATATCAAACTTCTGGTTATTTCTTGCTTATTGTTCACATTCGATGTGCAATCTTCTATTTCTTTTCAATGTTCTTTTTAGTCTTGTTTTCGTTTTTTGGTAATTCAAGACACAACGCACAGAAAATGCATGAAGCATGCAAGCTACAGAATGAACAGTGTTCATTGGACACACATACTGTCAAACATTTTTCAATGGCATAACAACGAAACGGCAACGACACACTTTTCTCTCTCTTTCTAATGTACAAACATTTGAAATCTATATTACATCAGGAACCTCTCATTAAAGTCATTCGGCATTGTAAGCAAGCTGTTCGAAAACGGGTTTTTCATTTGGGTATTTTGGTGTGTGAAAAACTTAGTGGCGCTATCGTTGTCTGCATTGTATGAAACTTTTCCTCATTTCTTTTCGTTGTTCTTCGCACAAGTAAAACATGCAAATTAAAATAAGAACCCGTTTCGCACAGCAAGGTTATTATTTTAAACGTATAGTTCGAAGTAAAAAGCCGCAATTCGGTATCTTGTTGCATAAAGTACTGCGAAAATATACACACATTCTCCTCGACGTTTGGTGGTGTGTGCAATTGTGCATATACTATAGCTCTTTTTTTTATTCTCTGGCTGATGTTAAAATGAGAGGCGCAATACTTTTTGCGTGGCCATGACAGTGTGGACGGATATCTATTTCATGGTTGGAAATGCAAAACAAACGAAAATAATGTGTTTTCAAAGCAAATAGTCGTGTAAGTGCAGATGAGCGCCTCAAACACACACACATACACACATACACATTATTCGAATTGTTTGGATAACGATTTTCCACTTCGTGAATAATTGTCATTGTTTTAACTGAAACAGTGTTGCTGCCGCCTGCAAACCACTTTTCAGTGGCAAAAATTTTATGCAAACCGAGAAACTGAAACTATGCTTTTTCCCTTCACGTGTATGAGGTGGTTGTACCAGCTTCTATAATGACCGCAAGAGCAGAGAGGAGAATGCAAAAAAATTGCTTCATCTGCTTCGATTTTGACCCGAGGTTCGTATTTCTAGTGCAAAGTTTACATTCAACAGAAAAAAATATAGAGTTCAGTATGTAAGCCCGACTTGTCGGTTTTATCGGGCATCATTCTTCATAAGAAAATATTTGCTTAGTGTTTTATAGCCCAAACGAATGAAATGCCACCACACACATACACAACATTTGCCTCACTCTCGTGCATTCATTATGACTTTGTGGAGTTTCTCGCATATCTTATCTGTTGCCCGTCTCTCTCTCTCTCTCTCTCTCTCTCTCTCTCTCTCTCTCTTTCGACGGGTATGGTTTTGAGATAAAATGCCGTGTTTTCTCAGTGTGTATTTGTGCGTCTGTGGCAAATGATAAACTTTTGCGGGCGCGTTTCTGCACGACAACATTGCACAAATGACGCCAAAGCAACAGAGAAAGAGATGGAAGACATTAATTCTTGAAATGGAATAACGAAATAAGAGCAAATTGAGTCATTGAAAACTTTAGTTGCACCGCTATAGAAATTTGAATGACTTTTTTTGCTTTTAAAACTGAAAAAAAAAATGCTCGAAGCGTAAAAGAATTAGCTGCGAAAAGTACGGCGAGTTGCACCTATACATCATTAAACAATTCATGGTTTGAAGTTAAGCAGTAATGACGACGACGACGGCGGTGGTGGTGGTAGAGCTTATCGCCACCGTGGTGGCGGCGCATAAAGAAAAACAAATAAAGAACAACATTTAAAGGGCTTTGCTGAATGAATAAATAACATGTACAATTGAAAGCATTTTCTTAAAATGTACGACGGAGCAATCAATTCCAATGGTATATGGAACGAAAGTTTTTTTCGGGACGAATGTAATACATTCAATGTATAAAAAAAATGTTTGTTCGAGAATACTTGACAACAAGTTATACTCAAAATATATATTAGCTGTGCTTAGACTTCAAGAACTTTCTCACATATTTACTCAAACTTTGTTCGCTCTCTCTCCCCCAATGTGTCTGTGTGTGCATTGACTAATTTCAAAACTTTGTCAGGTAGAGATGTCGATGGAACGATGTAAAATATGTGAGAGAACTTCATTGCAATCATGTATCCTCCCCTGGTTCAGGCATCATTTAACATGTGATTCTATAACAAAAGCATATCGATTATTATTTTTATGGTAATATCGTCATCAGCTTCATCGTTTGCTGAAGCGCATCAACATTTCAGTGAAAAAAAACGTCAAAAAGAAGACTATCAAACTCTGAAATGAATTGAATGCATTTGATCATTCGGTCCAATGAGCAAATGCAATGTAGAAAATGATAATTTCAAATTACTGTATCCACTCAAGAGCTCATGCATCCAACGCAAAAAAAAAAACACCTCCGAGTTTTCTTTTCGGTCAAATACAAGGAAATAACTTTATGTTATCGCATATTTTTCTCTTTGTGCTTGTGTGTGTAGCATAAAAAATGTAAGAACACGAAAGCGATTTTGTGAAGAAAAGAATTCAAAATGAAAACAAAAAGAAAAAGATTGCTTTCGATCCAAATAAATGGGAATTGGTCACATTTCGCACTAAAGATGGAATAGTATTGATATTGATGCTTTACCAAGTGCCTTGTGCCTTCAAACAAAAAAGAAAGAATATCGTTTGATAGAGTAACGAGACGGGGTCGAATGCACCTCAACCGAATTGGCATTCTTCTTCACGCTAGGGTGTAGCATCGAACGAAAAATTACATGTAATGAAAAACTCAATCCAAGACATTGTGTTTGACCTATAGAAACCGAATCAGTACTGAAAATTGGCCATCTCAATAAAAAGCCCAATAATTCCACTTTAAATCATAATGAATGTCATTACGGAGATTCTTTGAAAGAAAGATAAAAAACGGAAGATTTTGCGAGACAGAAAAAAATCTGACCAGACATA